CATTAGTGTTTTTTTTAAAGCTTAGAAGAAAAACACTGTGCTTGCCTTCTACTAGTGCCTTTTACAAAAACTATTGAACGAATGCTAAAATAAGAAAGAAGAATATTGAAGATGATTCTTGATAATATTGAACACTTAGAAGTCCTTTACATCCATAAAAGTGCTGTATGAACATTAACTAATTGTGGTAGGTGAAAATATGCTGACTTTGACCGCAGCATTATCCTGACCTCAGGTTCAATCAAAAGTACTTGCATGTTGGCAATAACTCAGGAAATGACAACTTTCTGGAACAGACTAGAAAATGAAAGTGTAAGGCCCATTGGAAATCTAAAGCCATAAAATATCTGTTATAAAAAAGTATGTTCATTTGTAATTGCATGCAGATTGAGTCTAATCCTATTAAAAAGGAGGAAAAAAAATAGCCACAAGTGTTTCCATCACAATTTGGGCAATTGATTAGTCATCATTAGGTCAAAATTTTAATAGAGTTGCTTTCGATATCTAGAGAAATTTGTTGGTAGCCGCATACTGCCCCGTAACTTTTATCTTTTAACCTTCAAAAAGATAAAAGTACATATCCTTTACAATATGCATTTGTTCCCTCTTAACAGTAGCTGAAAGGATCAAAAGGAATAAGAGTAAAGAGAAATATTATCAATGTATTAAGCAAATAGAAGTAACATACTAGAAAGAACAACAGCTGAATCCAAATTGATTTACCTCAGGAAGAAGGATTTTGGCAGTTGTTTGCAAAAGTTCTGACAAAACACAGGCAAATACACAAAATGAACAAAATCCTTGGTCTAGCTCCTGTCTCTGCTACATCTCTAAGCCTTACTCTGCATTTCTGCCTCTCTCGTCATCTTAACACTTCACTGTAATAAGCAGCAAGCCAGGCATGTGCATCACACCCACGTAGGAAGCAACCTGTATGCTGAAAATTAAGCCTCCTCCCTTCACTGTTAATTCTTACAGTGCAATCTCCAGGCTAGCACTGTCTAAGCGCTCTGGATCAGCTAGCAAGGACATGTTTGGGTTCTGCAACTTGTTTGTACAATAGTAATAATGGCTAAGTAAGCTATAACCAACACTTTCAGTTGCACCAGTGCCAACAATAATGCAGTAAGACGCAGCAATTATGAAAAGATAACCAGCTTTAATATACTAAAGTACATTTCTATTTGAGGATGGGAAAGACTTAAAAAAAATTATTTAAGAATGCTAATATTTGGGAAGAACAGTTTTTCAGTTCTCCTTAAGGAAGGAAAATTGACCAAGACTGAGAAAGCCTGGGTTTAGAATTACTAACACTATTTTATCGTATATTCTATAATGACTTGTCTTCATACATGTTTCAAAATCAATTCTTCAGCACTTCAAGAAAATCATTATGACATCCAAGGCTACAGAAACGCAAAGTTTTGTGCGTCAAGCCACTAATGACTCCAATGAATCCAAACAGAACCGAAGGCAGGTTATAAATTTCATCACAACTGTCAAATGCTCCAATTTGGACTAGACCTCCATTGTGCTTGACACTCTACAAGCATATTATGAAGTGCTTCCATTTTACACAAAAGATACAACCACCAGACCTAGAATTTGGTTACAGTATCATATTTATAACTGGTTTTAGATGGCTGAACTAGATCTTTTGTCTTCAATGCATTACTATTTGACAGAACAATAGTGAGTCACTACACGACCCGATTCAACCAACTACATAATTCATATCTACCTTTAAGTATGGGTTCAACCGTGCAAAGCGTGTCCTGAAATTTGGTGACATATTGAGGCCTTAGCAAGAATATGTATTGATCCAAACTGACACACCTGCATGCATCACTCCTGCAAAGATCGCGCTGGTTTAAACAGGCCCTGTTACAAACAGCAAACGACTACCAAGTTTAAAGCACAAAACATTCTACACAAGATATTCTATTGTTTACCAGAAAACATCTTAAGAAGTATTTTTGCATACACAGCTTTGAAGACACTTCTTCTGCACGCATTGAAAGGTTATCATAAAGAGGACTGATTTGGTCTACTAGACTGTAGAGAAACCACGCCATTTTGCATAAAGTAGAAAGCTACTTAACATTGTAATACTTCCAGCTACTACTATCATTTATTAAGTACACATTCTTTAAAAAACCGTTCATGAATAAGTTCTGCAGGGATCTGGCTTGCCACGTGGTATTCGTTTGCTTGGTTTCCTGCTACTAGTATACAATTAAAGGCACCTAAACACACCAAACACTTTTTCAATGCTATCTTAGTATATCATTGCTTCAGTTGGCACAGGATGGGACGAATCTTGGCTTTTCACTGAAATCAGTAGAAGATTCCATTGGATCACGGTATCATTCAGTTGTGAACACTTGTTTAAATTAGGACTGACCTTCTTCAAAGACGTAGCTTATTCCAGGCATTCAGTGGTGCTCTCTTCACAACAAACGATAGCAAGTAGTTTCAGTTAAATTACATTTCAAGAATAAAAAAAAAAAGAAAGAAAAACTACAAACATGCAAATTCAGTCTTTATTTTATTAAAAGAAGGTTTGTTCTGTTGGAGGAATGAATACATTTGTATCTGCAAAACATTACAAGCAAACAAGGAACAAAACCTTTGCTTCTGGGCATGCTCAGACCTATGTCACTGCACAGTTTTCTGGAAAAAATCACCTAGAATATTGTAATTCATAGCAATTCAATCATTACTGAAAAGATTCTGGGATTTTAATTGCATTACAAAGTGAGGTACATTTTACTTTTCTCATCTGTTCCAAAAACATCAACAGTTCAAACACTGTTCTATTTCCAGAACAAGTATGAATTCAGATTACTCCATTCTCAGGTAGATTTACCCGAAGGGATTTTTTTTCAGCTAAGAGAAATTAAGAATCATCATCCCACTCCCTTTTAGCACTGCTCAGCGCAGTAAGCAGGCTCCCAAGCACAGAAGCACATGTTATCAGTCTTTCCTTCGCACTTCGGATCAGGACACCATCCTCTTCTATTGCTTGCCATCAATTTATTTCCAAATACAATATCTTATCCTATAATTTAGCTCTTCATAGCATAAAAGAAATGCAAATACGTGCCTGAAGAAAAACATGGAAACAATAAATCTGAAATTGAATGCAGTGAGGATACAATGGAAGAACATCTAGCAATAGCATTGGACAAGTTTGTAATATCATTATGTTATTACAAACTCACATTATGTTAAATGACTACAGAGAGTAGAGAGAGAAGAAGGTAAAAAAAATTTACAACATCAGGCAATATTTCAAAATACATTAACACATGTCAGAACACGAAAACCACAATGCCATGTATTCTCATTTGGGCACAAATTCAGCATGAAACTTGAATACAACTTCAGATTAAGTCATGGTCTCATTATAAATACAATTAAATACCTTGTTGAATCTGAGCCCCAAAGAGAAGCACTTTGATACTACAACCAAAAGATCAGATGTAAAATTGTAAGAAAGAACTGTAAAGCAAAAAAGCACCTTAGAAAAAGAACTGAAGAACAGCTAGGTGCAAGTGTCAGATACATAAACTTTGGGGGACATGTTATTCTGTGTTTGTTCAGCACTTGGCACAGCAAGAGTCTGGTTCACGCTCAAAGTGCACAATACAAGTAAATAAAAAAACTGCTTAGTATGAGATTATTTTAAATGATTGAATGAGTACTTTGTGGGGAAAGAGACTTTTTTAAATTATGAAATGTATAGAAAGCATAAATATAAACTTATGAACAGTCAAAACTACACATGCATAATACAAGAAATGGTTGGGAACAATTTTCTCAATTATTGCAAAATATTCTGTGTCTAACTGCCACCAACTAGATTCTAAAAGCATGACTTTGTTCCTCTTTAATCCAGTTATCTTCCTCTGCTTTAAGATATACTGATACACTGGCAAACACCTTTGTCCACTGCTATCAAATCCCTCCACCATCATCTTCAGTAAGAAAGTAATTCAACTCTCAAGCTTTCTATTAGTGTAGACTCCACAATCATTACTCATGTTTTGAGGTTTCAGCCATGCTGCTAACAAAATAACGTGCTGTTTAACAACGGTAGCAGAATCTAGACCATTTTTGTTAATAGGGAAGCATGTGACTAATTCCTCAAGACCACAGAAGGCTTCTTTCTTCCTTCTCACACATGCTCTTTTGAATCTCTCTGTAATTTTGTTCCTTTTTCTTTTTTTTTTTTGTGCACATATCTTCATCAGTTCTCTTTCCAAGCCAGTTTCTACATTTACTTCTAATATCGTAATCTCCCTTCTCTTTCATTTTCATTGAGCATGCACACAAGAGGTTTTTAACAGTCAGAAGTGAGGCATATACTAAAATCTGAAAATACAGTAAACCTTATTTTGACACCGTCAAGCACAGAAGTGTTTCCAGACTTGTACCCCAAATCTTAACTCTTTAAAAATAAAGTTGTTAGATTTCATTCTTTAAGTAAAATATATAGCTACTTACACTCTTCTTTAAATATAATACATATTTCTTTAAAAACAAACCGGTGCAGGGGCCTATTTGTTTACAAAAGAAAAAAAAAGACATTACACGCTAAAAAAATTAGTCATTACATAATCCTAAAGATACTTTTATTACTCATGGTTTCAAGGAAAAGGTGTGTGTTGGAAGAATACAAGCTTGCAATAAATGAGTATGGAGAATAGTATTTTTGGCTGTAAACAAATATGCACTAGTGTTCTTAAAGTAGAATGTGCATCAGACCTTATTCACAAACAAAACTATCCATGCTCTTCATCTGTACAATACTGTGGAAAATGACCTGGAAAAAGTTAGGAAAGATAGCAAGATAGGAACATTTTCCTCATATCGTAAAAATATGTTAGACTGGGACTTATCTATGTACTTAATTTAAAGCTTTGCTTTAAAACATAAACTTCATCTTAAAAATCTTTTTTTGCTTTAAAATTTTAATCTAAAAATTAACCTTTCTATAAAAAACATTCCTTTAAAATTTTGCTTTAAAAAATTCAGTTTTATATTAGACAAAATATTAAATTATACAGGCACAGTTAGTTAAGAGGGCTATAAGAACTCATATTATAACCCTTTGTTTTCCAGTGATTTATAATACAGTCATAAGATTCTGTGTCAGCTGACAATCATATGGAAAAATTCATCACGGAAATCAATTCTTATTTCAAAATTATTAAAAAAAAATCTGTCAAGCTATATTTGACTTGCAAAGGAATTTTGTTTCCAGCTGGTTTAAGTACATGCACATCTTATTTATCATGGGAAACCTGCACATGCATCAAGGACTTACCCAAAACGTTTTTTAAAACTATGAGCCTTTTATGATGACAGCTTTTATATTTACTTCAGATGTTATATCTAAAACCACAACATTTTAAAGTCCACTATTATCTCTGTCCAAACTAGTGACCCTGGACACCTTAGAAAAATGAATCAAGGTTTGTGGGTTGTTTGTTTTTTTGTTGTCTTTGTTTTTTGCAAATACACAGATATGCCATGCAATGGCAGAGAGAGCACGACTGGTCTTGTCTTTTATATATTATTCTTACATTTTGAAAGATTTATTGTACATGTATAGAATCCACAAAGGCTTTTAAAACAGGATAGATGTATGTAATATTCCCAATTGCAGGTTTACAACCCAGAGCCCTGATTCTGATTACATTTAACTATGTGCTTAACTCAATATAAGTGAACAGTTAATCTTGAGTTTAAAGCACAGAATTATCTGCAAGATTGGGGCTTATGTCTCTTAAATACACCTTAATAAAATCTCAAATAAAAACTATGGTCTTTTGTGTCACAGATGAAATCGTAGTAGTTAGACCATCCATGGCCAAACATGAATTTGTACGGAATATGTGTGTTTTTTTTTTTAATTCAACTAAATGTTTTAAACAGATATTTAAACATGTAAACTTTAAGAAAGCTTAGAAGGATTTTGCTTTGTGTTTGAGTTTATTTAAATATTTTACCAAGCTTTTAAAAAGAAAGAAAACTTCAACTGTAGTACACAAAAGTTTAGACAAGAATACACCCAATTCAAATCCAAAAAGCTCAGGAGCTCAAATCTAAGGTTGAAATTCTAGAACAACTCGCTGTTATTTGTTCATATGATAACTGTTCCTTCCTTTTCCTTCCTGCCAGTGAGAGATGTGAAGTTCATAGGCAAACTGAGTCAATAAGCTATTAAAAATAACTAATCCTATATTTCTTTTGGAATTTGAGATTTCATTATAGCCACTACCATTTGAACAGTACCCTGGAGAGACATATTTCCTTACCAGCATGGTCCATTATTGCTTGATGAAAGCCCACAGTGACTTTGTTTTGTCCAAAATAGCTGATTTGGACAAGGTTTCAGGAAAAGAGAGTCTATATAAGGATACGTACAATTATGTATTTTTTGAAGAAAGCACTGAATAGATCTGAATTGTATCATACTGTATTCATTTCAATACCACTCCATAGGAAGTATACGATATATTACGTGTTGAATGAGGTGTGCATATACACAAACACAAAATACAGACATATAATCCACCCCAGATTAATACATCTTCATTTAATTTCCAGCAAAACAACTGAGTCATTTTATGGACTTTAGAAGTATGTGGAAAAATTAGAGTAGGCACAACTAATACAGCTCCTAGCTTACCCTATTATAGTGCACTGTTATGCACTGGTAATATCATAAAAACAATATGATACCATTCAAGCTTGTAATTTTTCAGATGTACAGGTAAAGTCTTGTAAATAGGGTTCTAAGTGCTTTTAACGCAAACACACAACTTCTGCAGCTTTACACAGTAGAACAGTGCAATACATAATGTGCCCATATTACAAGAACAAGCGCTTAGTTTACAGTTGTACTTGTTTCACATTAGACTGGCTTTGCACTTTCAGCAGCTCTAGCACTTCAGCTGCTTTTCCTATGATCACCTTTTTTCCCCCCTTTCCTCTTCCTCAATCTGTTTCCAGGTGCGGGCTATATAGAAGAGTCACTGTTTTGGTGGCTAGCTCTCACCTGGTAAGATAAGACAGTTTCGAAGTAATGGTACAGCAGAAGTTCTTCTAGAGGGTCGGTTCACAGTGCTAGGGTGACCCTTATCTCCACTTACCTCCCAGCTCCTTACTTTGGAAGAAGCTCGCTCCGGTTTCTTTGGAAAAGATCCCGATGTGACTTTCGGCCTCTTTTCAGGAATCCCGGTGATGACTGCTGAGTTTAGAAAGGGCCTCTTCGGTTTTCTCCTTACCTTCATTTTTTTAGCATCAGGCTTTTCTTTCTTAAGGTGCTTTCCCACTGTAGTTTTCTTTGTCTGGTGCCTACGAATTGAGAAGGCAGATTTCTGGGCACGAGGAGGGAGTTTCCTTCTTATCCCCTCTTTTTGCTGTTTTTTAGTTCGAGAAGTATGTTTGCCTGCAGTTACTCTGTTTCCTCTCCTCCCAACAGAGCATCTGACAGATATAGGTCCTGCAGCCTTTTTGGAAAAACCTGTTTCTTTATTAGGGCCTTCTTTTCTCTTCCATCTTGCCTTTGGATTCTCTCTTTCTAATCGCTCACTCCTGATGGAGGTCAAAGGGGTTTTGGCAGCTCTGCTATTAAAGGGAGTTAATCTACCATCTGCTTCCGCCTGAGACTGGTGAGAGTTCAAAGGTGAAATGGCCAGGTGTTTAAAAGAGTTCTCAGAGTGAGCAGACACCAGACAATCTGATCTTTCTGTGGAAACAGAAGATCCATCTGTCTTTTGACTTGAGGCTATATCGTTCCCTTTACCTGGATCTGGCAAAAAAGATACTGAAGATGAACTATTGAAGTCTGACCAATTAAAGGACTTTGATGCCGTGCCCTCTCTCTGTGCGCCAGCTAGTTTCTTCGTGTTTGCATCAAAGCTGAGACTTCTGAAAAGCTGTCGAACGTGGGAGGGCTTTTTGGCCTTTTCTCCACATGTACTCTTAGGAGGCGTTTTCAGAATTCGATTTGTCAGTGGGTCATAATACTTGAATGAACACTGTTTATATTTATACCTTATAGAGTCCTTGCTGTCTGCAGAGTTGCGATTTTTCCTCATTTTGGGAATATCTGTAGGTTTACCTTTACACTGTTTAATCTCTGGACATGAAAGCACATAGACCACTGTCTTGGGCTGTACAGGGCTCATAATCTTGCTGTAGGATTCAGGAAGTTTAAGGGCACATAGTCTAGTTTTCATGTTTGGAGTCTTTTCATTCTCTGGCCACATAATGTCTGCTTTCTGATCAGCTGGGTCAGGTTCTCTTCTAGTCATTTTTCTTTTTGCTACAGGGTAGTTCACTAGACTTGTTTGGGTGCCATGGCTGACTTTAACCACCTGGCATCTTGAAGCCAGGCGCCATGTCCTTTTCCTAGGCATTTTACGAATTTGTGGGTTGCATAGTGTATCTGAGGCTAAAGATGGGTTATCAAAATCAGAGCCACCACTTAAAGCATCATTGAATTCTGGCAGTGCTTTAACTGGTGCACTTTCTGTTCTGTTACCCTCAACAGTATCATTCTTCTTTTCATCTTTCTGCTTTTTCTTCATTCTCTTCCCTGCACATTTGGCTGAGGATTCACTGTCAAAGTAGCAGCGAAAACGGCCTTCCCTGAAATCACGCACAAGTTCTTCAATTTTTATATCATCTTCATACATTATTTGAGACCAAGTCTTTCCCACAAAAGAAGGAGGCACATGAGGCAGAGCTGGAAGAACTGGTTCTTCAGTATGAACTATTACATCCTGTTTTGCTGCTTCTGTTTGCTCCATTGACTCACTTTTTAAAGCAGAAGAGAGCTGTGTTCCATAGTCTTTATCTTGCAAACTTATTTGGACCTCTTTCAGGAATTCTATATCTTTTATAGCTGCCTTAGGTAAGTCTGCTCCTGACTGAATAGGTGCATCACAGTCAAAGCTCACTTCAGAGCCCTCTAAATGGGTATGGTCCAGAAGCGAAGAAAAAGTTAAACAGGGATCATTCTCTTCTTCTTTGAAAGGTAGTTCTTTAGATATAGTTCCATGGCAATACTTCATAATAACATCTTCAATAGTTTCATCCACTGAACTTTCATCAGTTCTGTTCATCTTCATTTTTTTGCATCTTGCTAGTTGTGGGGATGTCCCAAGTTTTAAGGAGCTGTCGATTCCCACAGTATCCCTGAGATGGAAATCAGACACCAAAGTTTCATCCTGAGTTTGTAAACCATCTCGTTTTAAGAGAGATTGACCTGAGGTAATACATAAAGAATTGCTGGGGCTGTACATAGGATTCTGACACATAGGATTTCGATGTGAAACGGAAGGGCTTTTGGGGTCAACCAGTGCCAGAGCAGGATTCAAGCAAGGTTTCAGTAACACATCCTTACTGCATACTTCCGTTCTTGTTTTATCACATCCGCTCGGTGGAATCATATTTGATGCCACCAAGTTCCTAACATTTTTTACTATTTTAGGATTAACAGAAGAACTATGAATTAAAGGATTGACAGAAAAACGTTGAGGTACTGGGCTCACGGCTGTAAACTGGCCTTCATGGCTATGATTTGCAATTTGAGCATCTTTCAGGGTATGCCGTTTCTCACTGCTACAAATGCCCACAGACTGCTGGGATATTCCTGTAATATCTTCCTGTCCTTTTTCTAGTTTCTGAATAAATGCTTGTGTTACAAAAGCTTCCTTTGGGCCCTTATGAGATAGGCATGGAACAGAAGATCCCATTTCACCAATGGACTCCTGGTCTTTACTGGAAGCCTCCTGCCTGCTTCTGTTCTTCTTTTTCTCTACATCTTCTGGAGATAGGCAAGCATTTCTAGGAGCCTCTAGAGTGACAGGGAGTGGTATGTCATCATAGGTTGGTCTAGGGGAATGAAAAAAAATAGTAATAATTTTAAAAACCTATATAAGTACTGCAAATATGCTTAAAATTTTTCAAACAAAAGTAAACAAAAACAACCCTCCCCCCCCAAAATAAACACAGTTACTTAGAGTGCATCACACCTACAGAGTAAAATCAGGTTATTAGCTTTGCTACTTTAGCAAAAAGATTCCGTTAAAACAAAACAAACCAACAGACCAAAAGCACACCAACAAGAGAGGAGAAGGGTTAGAAAATGCTGCACAAAGCTAATGACAACAATTTGGGCATGAGTTTGTTACCCTATTCATGCACCTATCTATTAAGAATGGCCAAAAACACAATATTGTTTTATAAATAGGGCAAAGCAAGATTAAGCGTTGCTCTTTGTTCCAAGTCGTGAGCTTATAAAGAAGTTATTTCACCGGTAAAACTATACTTAATATTAAGTTACTGCAAATGAATGGAACATTATAATATTGCATACCATAAAAATACTGTTGACTATAAACACCACCTTCCCTACAGAACGTGGTTGTCCCATAGGAACTCTATACGTTACAAGGAATTCCATGCTCATTGCTTCTCACAGAGATCCCACAGCTTCAGACTCACTTCTATAGGAAGCCTACTTATAACTGTTCAGTCTCACTGTGAGAAGAGCAGATTTTTATATATTCTACAACTGGTATTCTTTAAAAGCCCTATCCTTAAGCGCTTACAATTTGAGGCAGCCCTATGTCTTGCAGAATTAACAGAACAGCCAGATACGAAATAGTCTGCATCTGTCTGTTGTATTAATTGTGTAGAATTTCCATTTCTCTTATGCATCACAGAAATCCACAAAGCTCCAATTTGTGTAACAGTTGGAAAATCCAATAAAAATCATAAAAAATTAAGTAAACGTAACTGAAGAGAGAACATGGCGCTTCACGTAGAAGTTAAAACCAGATCCTGCACAAACCAAATGGATGCTTACTTTAATATACGGCAGACAGCTTCCATTTATTCTGTTATGGTGCATTCATCTGCTCACAGAAGCATCGGGAGTAAATTTGATTGTAAAGTAATTTCCTTAGTTATAAACATTCAGCTTCCACACTTAATGAAAGTTAAAATCAATCCAAAGTCAATGGAATTAGTAATGCTTAATGGTCAACGTGTGCAAAAATCTTTGCAAGATTGAGACATTAGTTAATAAAAGCAGCTGATACCAAGCAAATCTACAGCAAGCATTTCTAACTAGCTACTTCACACTGAAAAACAATCACAGAGGAATTATCTGAACATAGCTAGGGGAAAAAAAATATTACTGAGAGATGTCAGATAAAAGATAAATTTTCAGACAAGAAGAACTGTTTTATGGTTGGAAAATGATAGGCTTGACCATTCTTTCAAGAAATATTTGTATTTAAAAATAAAACTGATATTTGACCTTTATAAAGTTGACAAGATTTACTACTGAAAGTGTAAGTTTCCAGAAGAAACATACATAGGACCAAAAAAAAAAAAAATCATACCTGGAGCCACCTACTTCAAACCTTGGAATAAGCCTCAGTTTGTGATCCACTACTGTATTTTGTTCTCTCTTTCTCTGATAATTATGAATACAGTTTTCCAGCCAGCTGCATACTCATTTTATTATCATTTAATCTCCAATCACATTTTTCTTAGCTTGCTTATAAATCTCATACAAGAACACGTCAAAAACCATGCTAAACACAAGGCAGATGGCATCAAGATGGTTCTCCTCTATTCACAAAGTCTGTTATCCTGTCAAAGGAGGAAATTAGAATAGCCTGACATGATTTGCTCTGATAAATCAGCAGTAACTGTTACTCATTATTTCGTTATCTTCTTGTCAACACTTTGCTTATTCAGTTCTCAGGGAAATACTATAATTTAAGCAAAGACATCTATAAGAAGATCCTTTCTGGGCCCTTACTAATAAATAACAGTTTCTACATTTGTTCTTTCCCAGTCCTTTTGAAACATCAGACATTCTCTGTCACCTCTCAAAAATAATTACTAACAGCTCCCGGACTGTTTCGCAGGGTACCTGAACTAAATATCATGAGTGTTTAAATCCCTATTTATTCAAGTCACAAGGAGAACTACAGAGTCACTAACAGTCAGCACTTAAGTAAATCACTATTTGTAGATGACGTAGTTCAGTAAAGAGGTATTCTTTTTAAAATATCATTAACTTTTTTATGAAACGTTTAGTTTGTTTAATAATACATAGAAGAATAATGAGAAAATGTCAAACAACTTTATCAATAAGTTTTAAGAAGTTACAGTTGAGATGCAGGTAATGCATACAGGGTTATAATCACAGGCTTGAGAGTCCAGAGGAAAAAAAAAATGCCAGAGCAAAACTTTTCTATTACTAATAGTTTACAGTTACAAAAGACTAGACGTTGGCAAATCTAATGCTAATATTTGAAAAGATAAAGAAGTTCTAGGTGGCACAGACAGCTTGTTTTTCCCAGTTAGCGGGGTCTGTTCACCAAATGAAATAATCTTGGATTTGCAACAGCTCAAGAGATATATACCTTTTTCGTGTAGCCGTTGCATTAAAGTACAGCCTGTATTTTCTTTCTGGTAAAAAAATACTGGATGTTTTCAAGCTAGAAGTATTAATTTATTTGTAGTGATGCATTCATGTCCCAGGCTAATTTGTCACAGACACGCCTAACAGCCTGTTCTGCCACATCCCTGATAATAGCAATATGATTAGTTTCAGACAAAACAGACTTCTATCTGCTCGTCAGATCTATCCTAGTACGTCACCTGAGTGCTGCAGAACATGTTATTTGTGGATATAAGCCTTTGTCAACAAAAGCAAACTGCTGAAGGAACAAGTAGGAAGAGTACCAAAAAAAGAAAAGGAAAAAAAAAAAACCTCTATACACTAACTGATGACTTAAACTGGGATTTTTAATCAGCTTGTAGAACAAAACAAACCAGGAGTGAGGCTTACCTGATTTCATTTCAGCTGACGGTTCTACAGAGACAAACCTACACACTCACACTGTTATCACTCTTAAACATACACATGATGAATGAAGAAAATACCTCTCCAAATATGAGCATGACTAAATTGGCCAGTTAAGGTAATTCATACAAGTATTAACTGAATGCGTGAACTGTAAGGATAATGAAAAAATAAACATAAATATTCACCTGACATAATCCACAAACAACAGTCACTGCCAACAAACCAGAAGAATGAACACTTTCAATACATGCCATAAAACATGCTGCTACATATATACATACATATATATAAAGCCCAGAGTGTATGTACTATAAGAATTTGTGAATGTGTGTCAGGCTGTACAGTCTACAATATACTAGCTGACCCATACATTCTTACTTTTTGTTAGGTCTTCACATCCCAATTGCTCTGAAAAAAGCTATATCAAACCACTAAGTAATGAAACAAAGTTTGGAAGTAAGTGGGGAGACAACACAAAAGGAATCTACCTGGATAATATTTATGTAAACACACTCTTTTCTAAGTTGTCTCAATATAAGTTTCACCTAAAATGGGCAAGATTTACTGCTCAGCAGTGGAACAGAAATAAATATTCACAATATATGCATTCTAAAGACACACAGTTAATATTAAAAAAAAAAGGTATTATACCTGTTGTCATGGTATCTGTGGGGATGATGCTGCAAAACATCTTGCAGGAAACGCTCCATCAGGCTACTGGTACCCATACGATTCCTACAGTACGTGGTAAAATGTCTGTGCTGGGAGCTGAAAACATGCTGATGAAAGATGAAACGTATCACTGATTTAATACTATTGCTAACACAGTGACCTCCATAAAGATGACTTTCTAGACTGAATATTAACACTGTTACAATGAAAACGTCTAAATAAGTAAAATCTTCAGTCTTTTATACTCTAAGGCCTTGATTCAGTGAGATTCTTAAATACTCACCTAAATTTAATGAATAGTCACAATAGGGAATCATAAATAACCCTAAAACGTGTTGAAGCACCTTGCTGAGTTGGAACCTAAATCAGCAGCTCTGCAAGATGCTCAGAAATCTCTCGTGACTGGTACAAATCATCTAGCTACATCTATAAACAATGATTTAAAATATTTTTGAACTTCATACGAACAAACATCCTGTACTTCACCCAAAGGATAACTTTCATGCCCATATAAGATTAAATAGGTTTCTACTTTCTAATTAACAAAAGTATAAAAGACTACAGACCAAGGTAGAGTTAAAGAGCGGTAAAGTAAATATTTGATCAAATGGCTTCAGCTTTGCTATCTAACATATTGACCCCAATATTTTACAATTTATACAGATCTCAAGAAGAAAGCCACAGAAATAAAACTAACGGCTGCAATGCACAGCAGCCTATCACTTTAGAAAAGCAGACTGCAGAAAGCATGTCATTTGACCAGCTTCTTTATAATATCTAACAGATTAGATAGGTGGGTACGTTGTGCAATTGACAAGTTTATTATTTTCCATTCAGTATTGGTTTTTCAGTGTAGAGACTGATATTTTAGAAGCTGATAAAGCCTACTGGTACTTCTTGCTATCTGTTGCTGAATTACGCAGCAGCCTTCCTACCTGTTCAAGATTACTGTAGTGTACATGGCAGCAGTTGCAGTATCCTTGTCTATTTTGCACAGTGGATACTCCAGGCCCAGGATGTTCTTGCCCTCTTGTGTGTAAACTGAAGGAAAAAGTTAATATTACTAAGACATTTCAGTAAAAAAAATAAAAATAAATAAAAAGAAAAAGAGAGAGAACTGTTGGGTTGCGAGCTCAAGCGCCTAACGTGAAAATTCTGAATATCTATGTTATACTACAGAGTTGGAACAAACTTGCACCATTAAGATTTCGATTTCAAAATCATAATGGCAAGTGACATTACGTATTTTTAAGGTATTCCGAAACAAAAGTCACTAAAGAAAACATTTCTCTTTTAAAGCAGAGCGAAGGATAACAGGGATTGAAGGCACAGCTGAACACAAATTCTAATTTGGGTGAGCCACAGTCTCACAATAACTGTGTCTCTAGAAAGAAGCAGAGTCATTTTTTCATCCTTGCATTTTTTAGTATTTGGAAATAAAAAATAGACTGAAGACCAAGAAATTCTGACATCCACTGATATTAGCTTTTAGGCACTACAGTGCCCCTTCTCCACAGTTTCTACTAATATGTGAGCGTTATAACAGTGATACAATGTAGATCAAGTGTATCAATTACACAAGACTACAGACAAGGTTAAAAAAATACATCCTTCCTGGTTTACTTTGTGTAAGCAGTAAGTTGCATGCCAGTTAGATCATCATCTAACTCACCTGCTATTACTCTCCTGCTGTAGAGAGCCTTCTACACCATGTCTGTCCATTCCTATAGCAGGAATACAGAAAGTCAAACGGAAGAAATCAAGACCTTTAACTGCAACTGGTTACTTCCCTTACATTGCACTTGTGATAATTAGTATTTTAAAGGAAGATAACAAATTTGGTTAAGTTCAAGAAAACATTTACAGAAATGCTTTTGTCCTCAAAAACCTGCTCTGAGCTTCATAAAATAAGCTTTACCCTTTCTTGGTGGAGGTGAGCGGGAACTTTTCTATTGACTTGCCTGCGATCAAGATTAGGCAACCTACATTTAGACTGTTACACCCATGATCACTGAGACAGAAATGCAGCATATCTTTAACAGCTTACTGCATGACAAGAAAATTGCATCTGTATGGAAACGATGTGGACGATTCAGAAGTCACTTCTTCCATCTGAAATTTATGAAATCAATGCTGAAATTCCATGCTGAAATTTAGGAAATCAAATTATGCAATTGAAACTACAAGGTGAACTAATACTTCTGATGTTAATTATTACCGTGAAAAAAGAGAACAAAAATAACAATAATATCTGCTTTAAGTTACCTTGTGTGGAAGAAGCAGAAGCTTCATCAGATGGCTTGACTCTGTCAAACATCTGCAAGTCAAAAACATAACAACTGAAAACAAAAAATAAAAAGCACAATACAGCTTTACCTCATCCTCAATTTCAGCATGCCCAAGCTCTTCGGAAGCAAGCACAGTATCGTTCCAGCTATAGATCAACACTTAACTTAAATGCATCTGCACTGTAAAAAGCAACTCCTGCTTTGCTAGTGTACTCTCATATTCTATTTAACGATGCTCCAACTACCCATCAAACAACTTCTGAGCGACTGCAAACTGTCAATGACTGCCAGCGTTGGCAACTGAAAAACTGCCAGTGTTGGCTCACACACAAACTATTTTATCCAATCCATTTGCCAGGGAAGCAAAATGGAACAGAAGCCTCTCTCTGAGGGCAATTTTGCAGCTGCATGTTAGCTTTGACAGGACAATGGGACAGTTTCTGATCTAATTAGCAAAGTCAAATACTTTGCTTATGAATACAGCTTAGACTGTTAGGTTATTAAGCAATAACTTTGTCAAATTCATTTAATGATGACTTCTTCAGTTACATTTACAATATAGACGAAAGATATGTTAATAAAAAACAAACAAGAAAACGTCCAAACAAAACAGTCATCCAGGCTGGAAAAGCAATTGTTTTTGTTCAAAAGATCTGCAAATCAACAATGAACCCCACAGTTTTTAATTAAAGTAGCACTGCAACAACATGCAACCATGCGTTTCAGGGCATCTAAACGCAAAAGGCTTCCAAGTTTTACACAGTCCTTTACCTTACAGAATACAAACATAAAGTCAACTTTCTAGTACAGACCTTGGTGTATCAACCTTCTTCTTCCACCAAAGCTGATTCCAGGCTAGTGAACAGTTGATGTCGAACAGGAGGCCATTTGCAGCACAGGACACTTATCTTTTCTCATCCCATCTGGCAACAATGAAGTTAAAGAGCCTTCTAAAATATAATTAATAATGCACATTTCCCACACCCTAAAGCATGTCATTTTTTCTGTATGATTCTGCAAACAAGTCAGTCAATAAAATCAATAAATTTATTTTTGAAGTCCACTGTGCATTTTTCTTTTCCATTACAGAAGTTGTTTTGACAGTGTTTCCTTCCTATATGCTAACCATTCCTCCTGAAATAACCTTCTTTCTCCTTTGTTCCTCATAGTCCCTTATTTATTAAATATTGTTGTGGTTTTGGATGCTAGTACTCATAAAATTAATTCTATCTCTGCAATAACAGAAGACAAATTCCCCAATACTAAAGAAATGGAAATGCATGTGTTTCAAGCATAACTTATGAACTTGCTCTGAAAAACAATGTTTCCTTTTGCTTTTGTTATGTAAACTAGTTGGATATTGCAATAAAACATTAACTGGAACTTTCACGGCACACTGGATGTTCAAAGCATTTTATAAATTAATCATTACATACTCTGTGAAGTAGTATCATTTCCACATTGCAAACAGAGAAAGAGAGACATGGTCACAATAATTTCTGCAGTCATTGCCACTAGCATCATAGCGAAAGCATCACATGCAACCTCAAAACTCAGGACTTATCAATTCCTAGACCTGCTCTTGGCTTACCAGACATATATGTACTTGTAAAATAACAAACTTAAGGTTTCAAATAAAGGACTTCTACTCTTTGTTTTTTATAAACTGTTTTTATAGGAATCATTCTCTCCTTTCTGCTTTCCCATTCTCATATATGGAAAAGACACTACACTCCTATATGAGGCCTATACCATTAGTCTCACTAGACTGCATGTGATTTTTTTAAAAACGGTTGTACTCTTTCCTCTACTATACACTGTTCAATATAAAACAGTAGGGCTGCTATAGCAGTCACGGTATAAGGCAAGTTTTATGGTCAGAAATATCCTACCAGCTCAACCTAGGGGCTGGAGTGAGGGGGAAGGAGAGGGATAGAACAAAACAGAAAAACGAGAATCACTCTCCTTCCCACATTGCATGAATCCATCTTAAAAAAAAAAAAACAAAAAAACCCAACTACCTGCACCTAGAAACTTTGTCCTTCCCGACTATCTTAAGTACCTCTCCTAAGTTTTCCATATTAGGAATGTTCACCGCACCAATCTTAGGTTCTTTACATAAGTGGCTGGGAGGACTGTGTTCCTACGTATGGTTGGGAGATAAAACCTCTTCCAAATAACAGTTCACAGCAGGAGTCTAATCTAATTGTATGTACACTTGTTATTGTGCTTTTGACCTTCAAGAGCATCTAAAAAAAAAAAAAAAGGCAATCAAAATAGAGTCTAAATCCAGCACAGGCTGGACAGATATTGCGTAACTACAACAAAATGGAGCACTTCAGCATTGTTATTTTATATTGAAAAAAAATAATAAATTGACTACGGCATCATGGATTTCAGTAAAGATGATGCTGTCTGTGATGACACAGACAGCAAAAGAGATCAGCGTCCGCAGCTCTTGCGATAGTAAGTCAGTCATTAGTTGAGATGGTCCTTGGAGGCAAACAATATCTGAAACTTCAGAAAGATATAGAAAAATCCCCCGGGGCCATGAAAATCTGAGCCAGGGAAAATTTCTTCCTGATAATCAATCTGATCCTGAACACGGGCAAAACCTACTCATAAGACAACAGAGAAAGGCCTTCTTGATACCTCAGTCATCCTGTTGGGTGTCCTATATCCATCTGGGATTTCACTGGGAAAGCGAAGAAAAAAACCCACAAGACTGTCTTTCATGAATGATGCTTAACCCAAACTTATTTTCACATGCTTGAAGTCTACTTGCCTGAACTGCTAAGATTTTACTCTACGTATATTCCTAAGACACAGCTGCAACTGTAGAGTGTAGGAAGACTGTAGTGAGCACAGAGGAGGCTATCCAATTCTTTCCAGTTCCAGGAAAGATGAGGAACAGCAAAGACGGACACTCATTCCACGGTCAGCAGGAGGCACCACAACCATTCATCCTGATCCCACTGCTCTAATTTGCCCCACAATTGGATTACCATACATTATTGGTAAAAATGTTTAATTTCATATATACCAGGCAGTGTCAGTTGGAAAACGTAAGAGGATAACTGCTTCACTGGCTTATTGCTTTCTCATTTTGAGGAATAATTTCAATGGTGGTGCTCTGCTGAGGGCTTATTCATCCACACATACAGTTATGCAGGCTACACAAAGACTCGTGCACCTCGAGATTGAGCTACCAGCTGAGCAACCTTAAACAGCACAGGACCGGACCGTTAAAATAACCTCGCTGAGTTAGCGCAGGCCAGATCTCCTCTCCAACGTTTCGCAGTTCAAGGAGACTCCATGGAGCAGACGTTCTCACTCGGGAGGGCCCAGGTAAAACTTGTGAAAGCCTGCCTTTTCACTTATTAACTGACAGAGCAGTATTACCGTTTCTGAGAAGATCTTTGCCAGAGATTCTTCTCGACGCAGCTGACACATGAGAGAAAATTTCTTAGAAAATTTCTTTAGCTCAGTGTTTTAGGAGGGCACTAATGTATAGAACAAAGACAAAAAAAAAATCCATACAGCTTACCATCTGATGTTATGCTCAAATCACACTCTTGTAACGTAAGGGGACCCTCCTGCCTAGATGCCCTATTTATGCTGCCAAAACCCAGACGGTCTAACTGCAACTCTTACTTAGCCGAAGCTATTTCCATACACTGACAAAGCATTTTTTAGATCTGCAGGCTTCGCATGGACAACTTTTGCTTTACTAAGGTATTTCCAACCTGACATAGCTTTAGCTGTTGCATTAAAAATTAACACAGTTCAAAGTAAATTATACCTGTGTGAGCTTCAGCTGAAACATTTTACCACTGAAAAGGTCCTGTGAATTGTGATAAACACAGAAACAACAGGCCGTACGCAGAAATGTCTTGATTTGGTTAACTTCTAACCAAGGGCTACTTTAGCAGTCTCTTGCTTGTATTTAGACACTGATGCTTCTTTCTGGTTTTACTGAATTACTGGAGGCGCAGCAGCCAGAGCCTGAACACGCCTCGGACAAGCACGTTTAACAGGAACAGAAGAGAAACCCGTGAAGAGGCAACCAACAGGTAC